GAATGGAGGATCCTTGAGTCTTGGAATATTGCATGCCATTCATTGCAGGTTAATTAAATCAGTTTCATTTGCGGTATTCCATAACAGCTATTAAACGTTTCTTATGCCACGGTTATGCACGACAACATCTAGTGCCTTTATGAAAATATTTATATTGCACGTTATGTACGCTACCTATGTAACATTATTGAACCTATTTAAAAAAATCATCTGTCAACACGTCGTTAAATTTTTTACTCTCGCGTTACGTCACTAGTCATGCCTCAAAATTTACATTTTATAAATAATAAAGCGACACTTTCTTTTAAATAAATCACAGTTACATAATCTCCACTTTCGAAGTATACAACTTTTCGTTGCAGTACCCCAAAAAATCTGAAAAATGAAAAATGAAAATTTCGAAAAATGCAATTATTCATCGCTATGCTCGAAAAAATCTGAATTAACGAAAAATTAAAAATTTCGAAGAATGCAATTACTCATTGCTATACCCCAAAAAATCTGAAAATTTCGAAGAATACAATTATTCATCGCTATACCCCAAAAAATCTGAATTAATGGAAAACTGAAAATTTCGAGGAATACAATTATTCATCGCTATACCCTAAAAAAATCTGAATAATGGAAAACTGCAAATTTCGAAGAATGCAATTATTCCTTACTATACCCCAAAAAGTCTGAAAAATAAAAATTCTCCAAACTCTCTCCGACATAAACCAACAATAACATACACCAAATTATTTATCTCCACGACACCAGATATATCCCATAACACAAATGATCCACACACCATCCTCTCTACTAAACCTTTATTCCTACCCCTTCGATTCACCTCGACTCTTCCTCGCACCGTCCAGCAAATAAATCTCCAAGCGTCACGAGGGTATACATCGCGGTGCCCCGGCGTTATACGAGCGTTATTTGCCGTCTTAACGCGTCCTAACGATTCGTCGGTGCTAAATCATATAATTAGAGAGGCTCGCGCGGATTCAAGCTGGTTGTGGTGCAATCAGTCGAGAGCACATAACCGATGCGAATAGAAAAGAAACACGAGAGAGCCCCCATTGGCAGAATCCTACCGAGCATTCCTATGCAATTATAGTTTCCTTTTATCGCGTCGATCATACAGCTGGATCGTAGGGATCCGGTTTTACACCGCGAACGCGTAATGCGTGTTCATTAGCGGTCCCGTTGAAAGTGGCCACACTGGGAATTATAATATTCCACGGACGTGATCGATTTGCTCCTACTTCGTATCTCCATCGATAATACACACACACATACTTACGCAGCAGTGTAAATCGCGAGAATTCCGATTGAATTATTTCATTATTTCCCAACGAGGAACGGGAAGGTTGCGCGACCAACGTTTTGTTTACACGTTCCTCGCGACTACTAATTCAATTATCGCTTCCGCACGGTTTTCTAGATCGATTCACACGAGGATGTGGAGAATTTAAAGAACAAATTTTTCTTTCCTTTTTTTGTACGCTGTACACGAAAAACGTACCGAGAAATGCAAACGGTTTGTCGCCGTTTCTCGCGCGTAAACTAGCGCAGATAACTGCAGTCCCGATGTCCCGCTACGCGTTATGGGAAACCGGCGTATTTTCAACGAGCGATATTCAAAATATCTATATCGTGGATTCTTGCGTTGGATTATGTCGCGATGGAACGCTATGGTAACTGTATCAAGAATTATGGCGCGGTCAACCGGTACCGTACCGCCTGTGTATATACACGGTGGGTCGTTCATTGGCTGGACCAATTAACGGAGTTGCATTGAGAACGCGCAATTCGGCGGTGAAAAATCGTTTTTTGTGGGAGTAACGGAGAAAATTTAGTGACGATTCGGTGAATATTTTTATGGTAGATAAATTTAATGCTTCGAAATACAATTTCAGAATTTTTGCTGTTTTTCTTTGTTTTCACTGTATGTGTGACCAAATTTTTTTTCGTTCGTGAGAATGCAATTTTACGTTTTATTTGGAGAGGCAAGAATTGATAGTTTATATTAAAATATTGCTGGTAATAATGTAACAGTTGAATAATACAACAATAAACAAATAAAGTGTGACTTACAAAATGTAAATAAATGGATACGTAATTTCGAAGTCACATGGCGTAATGAAGAGTTAGGTTAGGTTAAATTAACTCATTTGATCTTTTTTTTCCTTGCTGTAAAATAAATGCTATTTAATTAACTTCGCGTAATATCTTATGCTAATACCACGCGCGAAACTATGTAGTATTTACTTTCATAAAACGCGTTTCGTTTATATTTTTAAACGCAACAACACTCCGCCCCGTTGCACCGCTTACGTAAGAGGTTTTTATATATAAATTTGTTTTCAACACTTGTTGGAAGTGAGCAGGTACATACGTACGAATACATGTGCACGAGGATAAATCGGTCCGCGTGTATTCTATGCAAATATTTCACCCTCCGCGACAAAAATATTCAAATTGCGCGCCGTTGTTGCAAGTAACGTTCGAAGTGTACGAGGCACGTTGGAAATCGTTTCTCGCGCTGCACTCGAGAATCGCAAATAACACCGCACACGCGGCTGAATTGCACGCGTTACGTGCCGCGGCCAATTTTCACGTCGTTTTGCCGAGTGAAAGGTAATTTAACAATATCACGGTCTCCGGTGTCTTTTCCTCCCCTTGGCGATGTGCCGACGTCTTCTTTCTTTTAGCATCGTCAGCACGTTCAGAGGAAGGTGTAAAAAAAAATAGTAGAAAGTGAATTTCAGCTGAAGCGTAGCTTTAACTTCGGTATTACGGTTAAAAAGTTAGCAGAAACAAACGTTCCCAGTTTATCCCATAAAACACCGATGTCGATATTTTATTCTTTGTTTCGGTAAAGATTAGGTTAATTGGTAAAGTATCTGTTCTTTTAGTACATCTACAATAACGCTGTCTAATCGTTTTGTTTTTACTGGAACAGCTAATAACTTGGTTTGCATCATTTTTCGGAGAATTTCTTTGAGGAAAACACTGTGAAGATTTTGCAAATATGTAACATTTCAGTTAACATTGTCTTACTTATGCAATCGTATGTGTATTGCAAATATCCTAACCTCACTATAACCTTCTCCTTTAAAATAACGTTGAAAATTCTTTGCACCTAACCTAACCTAAAAACACAGAATTTGCAGCGATACTTGTCGAAGTAACTTACCTCGATTCAGCTGTGTCAAATTCCACCGAGCAAAAAATAACACGGATTTTGTGAAAGATATATGCGAAGAAAGTACGTATCGGTAGAGACATCTGTAGGAACATTCCTCTCCATGATTTTCCACAAATCGTCCACCTGTCCGCTCGTTAGAGAACGTCTTTCATTCCACTTATGTAATATGCCATTTCTGCACGCGCCGTGTTCACATATTTCAATCCCCTTTCTGATTCTGCATATACATATCGCGTCGAGTGTCATTATCTCGTAACACCCACGTACCCGGCCTATACATGCCAACGTGAAGTCCATTACCTTCACTCGATCGTGCATTGTGAATGCAGCATATGTAAATAGAGTAGGTACACGATTGCCGGCAAGGTTGTAGAACGTATCGCGCGAATGGTTACGGTTTACGGGTTAATGAGATGAATTGTGTGATACAATGGACCGCCTACACACCATCGATAGACGTCCTTAGAATATCGACATCGACAAACGCGCGCGAATGCGAGCATCGATACTTGAATTACGCGCCATTTTTCACAGTGCAACCGCTATGGGAGCTGTTCCCTGTTACGTAAAACGCGATCGTTGACGCTATCGAAAAATTAACGTTATCGAATGTGAAAGTCAGTTCAGCTACAGTGTCCAGGAGGAATTTGAAGTTTAATTCTGTGTTATTGTGCATTTTGTGTGTGGAACGGTTAAGTGGAAAGTTGTGTGTTATAGCACGTGTGAAGTCAGTCGAGTGTTTTAGGTTATAAATTGTTTCACCGCGTGGTGATCCTCTCATTAAAAGGTATTTATGTATTTTCAATAGCGGTGATTTCGTATTATCTTAATGTTTTAGTGTAATTCTATTCATATAATTCTGTTCGCGAGAAATATAATCATAGAGTGTAACCGTAGTCGTTCTTGCAGGCAGTCATTAGTACTTAGAAATTGTTTCTTAGAGTTAGTAATTATAGCCTCGTGTAATATCTGAAGATCGCTACTCGTCAACAAATTACGGTTTTTTCTTACATTAGTAGAGAAAGCGTTAAGGAGTAAACCTTGCTATGCCATTTAACTACTTTGTAACACTGCCTCTTACCTTTTCTGTCTATGCTTGCGCGTCGACAATTTGCTTGGAAGATAGAAAACTGTAGAAATCTTCCTTTTTCTTAATTACACGCGCGAACTGTTGAAAAGTCGTGAAAGAGTGATTCCTTATTAATCCTATTAAAAAACGACGAAGAGAGAAAAATATTCAACTAATCTTACTAACAATAAATTCAAATTTCATCGCTTTCTTCACATTTTTAAATCAGCGAATCGAGATTTTCATAGAAATCTCCCTAGATGTCAAAGCTTATACCTCATTGGCCCAATTAATACGTCATTCGTTCGACAAACGAAAAATTCCAATAAGTCGATCCTCCAATCCGATCAATCGATTCTTTCCACTTTCCGCGAAAGACTCTCCTATCTTCGCGAGCATTTATTCTAACCGCAATTTCACGTCCGTTTTCTACCATCTCGCAAAGCGAACGAAGCCATCGAAATGGTACTTTCTCGTGGCGTTTGAGGCGAGGTGATTCAGTCGAAAGTTGCTTTGGCAGAACGCGACGGAGCGCAATCGTAACTCGATATTAAATTACAAGGGTTTCCATGCACGCTATAGGCTGTAATCACGTCGGAATATATTCTCGAGGACGAATCGTGAGAATAACCAAACTGGTGGTACGCGTTCGTACGATAAAATGACAAAGCGTGTTCGTCACGAACGACGTGTATCGATAGTGTCTAATTAGGTACCCCTTTTTCACTTTTGCAGGCGTACATAAAGAAGGAATTGGGAAAGGTGGTGGTTTACACGACGACGTCTGGGATCGTGAGGAAGACGTTCTACAATTGCAAGAAAGTGAAGCAAATTCTGAGGACGCACATAGTCAAATACGACGAGTTGGACCTGTTCGGTGACGCTGAGCTGCAAACGGAATTGAGAGACCGTTTGGGAACCACGTTGATACAGCTGCCGCAGCTTTTCATCGATGGACAGCATATTGGGGTATGTACATTTATATGCAATGTGGGTTAATTTTTTTGTTCCTAGCGAAACGAAGTTGAATTTAATTATAGAAAAATTTCTAAATTAAAGTATCTTCCTTTGCACATATTTTGCACGGGCATTAAGCCGAAAAATAATTTTATTCGCTTAATGAAAATTCCATTTTTGAAGACTGTCGCGTGCCACGTGGTGATCACGTGCCCCACGGGCCGTGTTAAATTATATTTATTTATGCGGGAAAAATTCCCATTAAATTACAAGAGATAAGTAAGTGATTTTGAGTAAAAATTAATTTTTCTTTTTTAATTCGTCGCGCATTACAGAGGTGTACGAATTTTCTTAAAACTTCTATAAGTTCGTGGAAGATTCAGATTTGATAAAAAAGTGCATATCCACGTTTTTACGTCAAATTGGCATTTATATGCAATTTACGTCAGCTTGAACGGATTAAGGGGATAGAATATCCGGTTATAAATGCGTATTTCCTCGTAGGCGCAAGTATCACTTTTAAAAAGCTAGAGTAGGCGCGAAAATGGCGTATAAATATTTTGCTGCCGAAGGTTGTAGGTAAATGGAAATGGGGAAAAAATGAAATGAACGAAATCGAAAGGTCGTAAAATGTAATTTGATAATGCCGGGGTACGGTGTCGAATGGGTTTGGTGTCAATTTGAAAAACTTAGCTCGCTTTAATAAAAGTATTTCATTAGAGGTATCGAATACCATGCTTACAGAGGTGCACCGTCTAACTTTCAACCGGATTTTTCAATTATATCGTTTAATTTCTTCACTTTCTCCAGGAACATTTTTTTTTTTTTTTTTTTTTTACAACACTTTCAATACGACAGAAATAAAATACCTCGCGATACGTGGATAAAAACATTGCAATAATAACATCGTTTCCTATAAACAGATTTTTGCTAAGCCCCTTTTTATGAAGGATCCATGATCAATGGAGTGTATGCATGCGGGAGATAAGGTCAAATGTGTATCTTGCCTTTGATGTTACACCCACATTTTACGATGCATCTTCGTGTGAACTACATTCGTACAAAAACGTGTTTATTACTGAAACATTACTGTTACCATTTTATCGTTCGGGTAAATCGTACAAAGTACCTTTAAAAATATGAAGAAAAGAAATTTTTGAAAGTCACACAAATATACACTTTTCGTGCAACTCTATATAGTTTCCAGTCAATTGCACGTATCCTGTTAGACGAGCAAGGTTAAATCGGTCCGCCCATCACTCTCGTTAATTCTGTCGCGGGTAATTATCGATGGTTATCGTAGCGGCCATTAGAACGTGCAACTAATCCACCGGAGTAATTGTTAGTATAAAATTTCACCGGTCGTCCGCGGGAGATCGTTTCTAGCCGGCACGTGTCTAGTTTAACCGCGATAAGGTGCACGTTTCGCGGTTATCAACTAACCAGCACGACGTTGAATAATGAAACGTGAGCATCTGCTTGTGACCACCTCGACGAGCTGCGTTCGACGCCCGTCAAACCGGCTGCTCCTTGCTTGTTATCGATTCTCTCGCCTAAGGCGAACCGTAATAATTTCTTTCCAATCACACATTATCCCTTTCTCCTATACAGGTTGATTCAAAGTTGCTACAAAGGATTTGGATTTCTTGGAAGATCGTTTACATCTTCATATTGGTACCATGTTTGTTACCGAATCACTTAATTTCTTTGAAATTAGACATTATCCCTTTTCCTTGTACAGGTTGATTCAAAATTGCCGCAAAGAATTTGGACTTTTTGGTAGATCATTCGGAAGACATCTTCCTATTGGCAGCACGTTTGTTATAGAGTTAGTTCATTTTTTTCGAATCACACGTTATTCCTTCCTCCTATACAGGTTGATTCAAAATTGCCGCAAAGAATTTGGACTTTTTGGTAGATCATTCGGAAGACATCTTCCTATTGGCAGCACGTTTGTTATAGAGTTAGTTCATTTTTTTCGAATCACACGTTATTCCTTCCTCCTATACAGGTTGATTCAAAATTGCCGCAAAGAATTTGGACTTTTTGGTAGATCATTCGGAAGACATCTTCCTATTGGCAGCACGTTTGTTATAGAGTTAGTTCATTTTTTTCGAATCACACGTTATTCCTTCCTCTTATACAGGTTGATTCAAAATTACTGTGAAAAATTTACATTGTTTGGAAGATCTGTGGCAGGTATCTTCACACTGGTAGCACGTTTATTGTGGATTCACTTCAGTTTCTTTCGTATCACACATTACTCCTTTCTTCTATACAGGTTGATTCAATATTGGTGCAAAGAATTTAGATCTTTAGGAAGATCGTTTGGAAGGCTTCTTTATATTGGTAGCACGTTTGGTATCGGTTCACTCAATTTCTTTCGAATAAAACATTATCCCTTTCCCCTATACAGGTTGATTCAAAATTACTGTGAGAAATTTATATTGTTTGGAAGATCAGTATTCACTCAATTTCTTTCGAATAAAACATTATCCCTTTCCCCTATACAGGTTGATTCAAAATTACTGTAAGAAATTTATATTGTTTGGAAGATCAGTGGCAGGTATCTTCACATTGGTAGCACGTTTATTGTCGATTCACTTCAGTTTCTTTCGTATCACACATTACTCCTTTCCCCTATACAGGTTGATTCAAAATTACTGTGAGAAATTTATATTGTTTGGAAGATCAGTGGCAGGTATCTTCACATTGGTAGCACATTTATTGTCGATTCACTTCAGTTACATTCGAATCGCACGTTATTCTTTTCTCCTATACAGGTTGATTCAAAATTATCGCTAAAATCTTTGATTGTTTGAAACCCAAATTTTAGTTCTGGATAATTGATGCATGCTTTCATTTCTTAAATCAAATTGATGATTGTACTATTCTGGTATATCGAGGCCACTGCCCATCGCATGTTATTCAACAATTTTCCAAAAAAAATTAGCAACTTTAACAATTTTTTATCACTGCAATCTATCGAACCAAAGTAAATTATTAATTCCAAACCAAATCTAGGTGTAACTAAATAAACGATCCGAACCTAACCTAACCTAAGAAATCAGTCAAAATTTTCACTCTCGTTTCTGAATCACCCTGTACACTTAAAATACACATATATGTCTCACGATCGACTCGCGATCTCGCGCGAATTTCTCGCAAGGCCGATGTCGCGTTGCGCAACGAACATGGAAGCGGAGCGTTCGAGAAAGCGGAGAGGACGCGACGGGAGAAATCAGCGTGAAATGTCAAAGATGAGCGACGAGCCAACGGTTGCGTTTCGAGTAGGCTCGTAACCGGAAATCTGCAGGCGACGCACGCTTGCACAATCGCCAAGCGAGAAAGCCTTTTGTACGTACCTACTGTGATACAGACTGTGTGTAAGTACACGCTTTTACCGTCCGTCTGTTCATCGATCAAAAGATTTCAAGAAGTTTCGAGGCTCCTTGGTTGCTTGCTGGTGTTCGTCCATTTACAACGGTTCTGCAATCCTGATTTCTTTCTTGCCACGTCAGACCGTGTTCCCCAGTCGAGCGTGCCTCTTGATACTTTTTGCGATTGATCGACGGTTCGTGAAGGTTCCACGACAATTTTACGTCGAACGGGATATTTTTTAAAAGAAATTTCTTGAAAGTGTTAGCGTGATATACGTACATCGTTTTGGGGGTAACTTTCGTGCCATTTTTGTGATCGATCGAGAAGGTTCCGCGACAATTTTACGTCGAACGGAATTTTTCAGCGGAAATATGGTGTTTTAAACATTGGTATAATGTGTTAGCGCGGTATATTATGTTGCTGGGTGTCATTGAAAGTATAATCTAGGTGGTGTAGAGGATATGTAAATGGCGGATGTGGGAGGGAAATTAGAAGTGGAAGGAAGGAATAAATGTGACTGTATAATATTGCTCAATATTTCGTGTTTCTTAACGTGTATACCGGCATAGTTCGCGTTGAATTGCTTGTTCAGAGAAGGGAATTAAAAGTGGTTTTTCGCCTTTCGAGAATTAATAGACGTACAGGATATTATGTAACTGCAATGTTTTTAAAAGACAGATTTTGTATTTTTTATCATTATGTTGAGTTTCTCTTTTGATAGTTCGAAAGCGAAAGTGCTGCGTACGCAAATTTCTGTTTTCGAACTTGTGGAATTGTGTTCCAGAAGTAGTGAAATTTGCTTCATCTGCATTTATATCTACATATGCAGAAAGATAATCAATCTTTTCTTTCAATTATTCATCATACTATACACTTGGAACAAATTTAACTTTTCGACAATTAAACTTAATTGAGCAACTGCAAAGAAATTTTGAATGCAACTGTAGGAGAGATCAGGCACAACTGAAAAAACAAACAAATTGTCTTTTAAAAGTCAATTGCAAATAATAAAATTACTATGAGTATAAAAATCATGAGAATTATTTTCTTAAAGAAATAATCACATTGTCTCTTAAAAATCAATTGAAAATAATAAAATTACCGAGTATAAAAATCACGAGAATTACTTTCTTAAAAAAAATAATCGTATTGTCTCTTAAATATCAATCGTAAATAATAAAATTCCCACGATGTTACAAATCACGAGAATTATTTGCTTAGAAAAATAATCGTATTGTCTTTCAAAAGTCAATCGTAATAATAAAATTACCATAAGTTTCCAAATCACGAGAATTATTTTCTTAAAAAAATAATCGTATTGTCTTTTAAAAATCAATTGAAAATAATAAAATTACCGAGTTCAAAAATCGCGAGAATTATTTTTTTAAAAAAAGTGTCAAAGCGAAACACTTATATTTGTCCAATTGTGTCTCGAGCTCTCCTCCGCTTTCCACCTAGAGACATAAAAAATGATTACATATTTCCCAATGGAAACGCGCCGTTACAGCACACTCCACACCAGCAGGGATCAATTCTGACGCGGTGAACGCGCGATAACAAAAGTAAAACCATAATGGGAATTCTTCGTGAATATCGTGAACATAAGCACGCGAGTGCCTCGTGTATACAGT